CTTGTGTAATTTTAAGAGCGATTTCAATTGCATTAATGTGGTTTGTAGATTACAGCGTTAGCGTTTGATGAAGCACTTTGATGGCAGAAGAAACAAAAATTGCCAACAAACTCAGAGTGCTTGGGTATTGTTAGGAGGGCACTGACTTTTCTAGGCTGCCTTATCTATGTTTCCTGGTAAAATACATGGGAAAAATCCAGTTAGGGTTAGGGTTACGTCTCCATGAACTCCTATAGCAAAATGGACATCGCCAACAAACTAGGAGTGCTTGGGTATGGTTAGGAGAGCATTGACCTTTCTAGGCTGCGCTATGTATGTTTCCTGGTAAAATACATGGGAAAATCCCATTGCAGGAAAATTCCAGTTAGGGTTAGGGTTACGTCACCGCTAACTCCTAGAGCAAAATGGACATCGCCAACAAATTAGGAGTGCTTGGGTATGGTTAGGAGGGCACTGACCTTTCTAGGCTGCCCTTTCTATGTTTCCTGGTAAAATACATGGGAAAATCCCATTGCAGGAAAATTCCAGTTAGGGTTAGGGTTACGTCACCGCTAACTCCTAGAGCAAAATGATCATCGCCAACAAACTCGAAGTGCTTGGGTCTGGTTAGGACGGCACTGACTTTTCTAGGCTGCCCTATGTATGTTTCCTAGTGAAATTCATGGGAAAATCCCATTGGAGGAAAATTCTGTCAGAATACAGCTGGAAGGGACCTCGGAGGTCTTCTAGTCCAGCCGCCTGCTGAAGCAGGAAACCCTAAGTGGAATTTTCCTCCAATGGGCCCTATTAATAAGGTGTTAATACCATTAATAAAGATAGAGAATAACGTCGTTTTAAAATGCTGTTAAAAAGGTTTATTTCTTTTGTTGTTAATTGCGAAGTCGTGTCCGACCCATCGCGACCCCATGGACAACGTTCCTCTAGGTCTTCCTGTCCTCTACCATCTTCTGGAGTCCATTTAAGTTCACACCTACTGCTTCAGGGACTCCATCCAACCACCTCATTCTCTGTCGTCCCCTTCTTCTATTGCCCTCAATCTTTCCCAGCATTAGGCGCTTCTCCAGTGAGTCCTTCCTTCTCATTAAATGTCCAAAGTATTTGAGTTTCAACTTCAGGATCTGGCCTTCTAAAGAGCAGTCGGGGTTGATCTCTTCTAGGAATGACCGGTTTGATCGCCTTGCAGTCCAGGGGACTCGCAGGAGTCTTCTCCAGCACCACAGTTCAAAGGCCTCAATTCTTTGGTGCTCAGCCTTTCTTATGGTCCAACTTTCACAGCCATACATTGCAACTGGGCAAACCATGGCCTGGACTATACGCACTTTTGTTGGCAGGGTGATGTCTCTGCTTTTTAGTACGCTGTCTAGATTTGCCATAGCTTTCCTTCCCAGGAGCAAGCGTCTTTTAATTTCTTGGCTGCAGTCCCCATCTGAGGTGATCTTGGAGCCTAGAAAAATAAAATCTGTAACCACCTCCATTTCTTCCCCATCTATTTGCCAGGAATTGAGTGGGCCGGATGCCATGATTTTGGTTTTCTTAATGTTGAGTTTCAAGCCAACGTTTGCACTCTCCTTCTTCACCCGCATCAAGAGGCTCCTTAGTTCCTCTTCACTTTCTGCCCTTAGAGTGGTATCATCTGGATATCTTAGGTTGTTGATATTTCTCCCGGCAATCTTAATTCCAACTTTTGTTTCATCTAGCCCTGCCTTTCTCATGATGTGCTCTGCATATAAGTTAAATAGGCAGGGCGACCGTATACAGCCTTGCCGGACTCCTTTTCCAATTTTGAACCCATCCGTGGTTCCGTGTCCAGTTCTCACTGTTGCTTCTTCACCCGCATATAGGTTTCTCAAGAGACAAATAAGATGGTCTGGTATTCCCATGTCTTTAAGAACTTGCCACAATTTGTTGTGATCCACACAATGAAAGGCTTTAGCGTAGTCAATGAAGCAGAAGTAGATGTTTTTCTGGAACTCCCTAGCTTTCTCCATGATCCAATCGTATCGCACTTCCCTGTGTTACACCTTAAGAGGTTGCTCCTAAAAGTGCACCCGGCTGCCCCCTTCAAGCAAACCCAGATGTTTTTATTCAAGCATAGTTTTGTTTGTCCTGCCCTTCTTTTTCTTTAAGGAGATCGTACGTATGTAGGTTTGTATTTAGGTTTGGTGTTTCTAAACTATATTTCTTAGAGATACCTATGTATTAATATAAGCGCAATATCAAATATCTATTTGAAATATTGTGCATTTTTATTACGAAAGGATCAATATAAAAATAAATGTAGTTTATTTTGAAAAAGTATATAACCTATCGTTCCCTTATAGGTTTATCATTTAAAGGATGGATAAAAGGGGTGAGACGTGCGACGTTGCAACTAATGGCATTTATTAATTTGTTCGCCGTCCATCTAACTTTGTAGACCTTCGTCTATTAATAAGGTGTTAATACCGTTAATAAAGATAGAGAATACGGTCATTTTAAAATGCCATTAAAAAGGTTTATTTCTTTGGGTGGCCGCAATACCCATTTTTGACCCCGGAAGGGCACAGTTTTTTGTCCCATAGCTTTGGCTTGGAGTCCATCCTAGGCCTTTTTAATGGCCTCCATCCTATAGCTAAGGCAGGGGTAGGCAACCTTGGCTCTTTGATGACTGGTGGACTTCAACTCCCAGAATTCCTGAGCCAGCCCTGATAAGGGACGGAAAACTGGTCAAATCAGATACTGCGGCCAGAAAAATAAATAAACCTCTTTAAGATGATTATTCTTGATTATTAACACTTATTAATATGAATAAGCCACGATAGGCCTTAACTCGGTTTAAGATTGGAACCAGGATTTCTTCTGCGCCCGTGTCGCACCGACCGGGCCCCCCGTCGCCACGTTAATATTAATAATAAGGCGTTAAGAATAAAAATAGAGAAGAATAAGCTTCAAATGCTATTCAATTTATTTCTTTGGGCGGCAGCAGTACCCGTTTTTGACCACAGGAGGGCAGTGGTTCCCGTCCCATAGCATTACCAGGGAGGCCGTCGTAGGCCACTTGCCCAGGATCGGGACACCGAGAAGCTAAGCCCCAAAGCGCAGAGCGTCAGCCAAAGGGCCGCCACTCTATGCTCCTCCGAAAGGGACGGGCCGCTTCCCTCGGCCTTCTGCGCGTGTCGGCCGGCTGGTTCTTGACGAGGAATCTGCGAGAGGCCCTCTCTGGACGGCGGGCTTCCTGTCCGTCGGTATCGGCCGTCCCCCAGGTGCTGCGGTAAAAGGACCTTTCCATCATGTCCGACTTCCGTCCCTTCGTTCTTAATCTTTCCCCCTACTTCCTTTCGGGTAGACCTCAGTATGTCCGACTTCCTGTCCGCGCAAATTCGCCGTCCTCCAGGGTCTTTAAATTGCGACCTTCCCAATATGGCCGACTTCCGGTCCGTCCTTCTTAATCGTCCTTCCACTTCCTTTTTTTCGGGGACCTTCTGGGCAGGGCGGACTCCACGTCCGATCAACGAGGTAAGCCTTGAAAACCCCATTCAAAAGGCTTATTTCCCTTGGCGGCCGCAATACCCGTCCCATAGCATTTACCATCGAGGCCACCTTAGGCCTTTTCCACGGCCTCAATGCCGCTATCGCTAAGGGAGGGAAAACAGTGCCCTCCCGTGGCCAAGCCGGGTATAGCAGCCACCAAAAGAAATAAACCTTTGAAAATGGCAATAGGGCCTCCCGTCGCCCTATTAATATTAATAAGAGGCTACTAATAAAGACGGGGGAAAATAAATAGCCTTAAAATCCCATTTAAAAGCTTTATTTTTTCGGCGACCGCAGTACCCGTTTTTGACCACAGGAGGGCAGAGTTTTCCGTCCCGTAGCATGACCACCGACGACGACGACGTTCCCAGTACGGCCGAGTTCCTGTCCATCCGCCGAGGCCGTCCCCAACTTCCTGTCCGTTCCCTGCTTTTTCCCGTGCTCTTTTCTGCACTACGTTGACGGAGCGCACGTCTACCGGCGAGGCCTCGGGAAGGAAAAAAGGAAGCCTGCTACTGCCTCAGGTTTGCCGAGCCATCCCCGCATTTCCTGATTCCAGAAAGATACCGGCTTTCTCTGTTACCTAGTTAGCGGGGGATCCCCACCTTCCCCCTCCCCCGCCTCCTCCCCGGCCACTCGTTTGGTCCTCTCCCCTAAGATGTCCGTCTGGCCTTTGGCCGCCCCCGTCCGTAAGAATGCGACCGAGAACCGGTGGCGGCGGCGGCATCGGAGGTTGCGAGACCTGGTCTCTTTGCGCTCTTTCCCTTTCAGCTATAGGGGCTAAATTGGGAACGTAGAGACGAAGTTAGCTTGTTTTAATAACACACTTTGGGGTCGTTTATGCGAGCTCAGCCGCGGCTTCTTTTTAGCTCCTTTTTAGAGGTGGGGCCGGCGGGGCACACTCCAGGCTTTTGGCGTCCGGGTCGGGAAGGGGGTTCCGACCCGTCTCGGGGGTCTCCTCCAAGGCTGCCAAGCAAGGCAGCCGTTGAATGGTGTTTTCCCAGGGCCCGAGTCCCGGATGTAGAAGAACCCAGTCGTATCGCGCTTCCCTGTGTTACACCTTAAGAGGTTGCTCCTCCTAAAAGTGCACCCCGCTCGCCCCCTTCAAGCAAATCCAGGTGTTTTTATTCAAGAATAGTATTGTTTGTCCTGCCCTGCTATTTCTTTAAGGAGATCGTACGTATGTAGGTTTGTATTTAGGTTTGATGTTTCTAAACTATATTTCTTAGAGATCCCTCTGTATTAATCTAGGCGCAATATCAAATCTCTATTTGAAATTGTGTGCATTTTTATTAAGAAACGATCAATATAAAAATAAATGCAGTTTATTTTGAAACTGTGTATAACCTATCGTTCCCTTCTAGGTTTATCATTTAAAGGATGGATAAAAGGGATGAGACGTGAGAAGTCGCAACTAATGGCTTTTATTATTTTGTTCGCCGTCCATCTAACTTTGTAGACCTTCGTCCAAAACAAGTCAGGGTTAGGACGGATAGGAGATTCCTTCCTTTCCTCTCCAGGTTGCCGTAAACAGCCCACCCACCGCCCAGAGGTAAGAGAAAGGTAAAGCAGGTCTCTCTGGGGGAAGCAGGAGACCCGGGTCTTTGCAGAGTCCGGCTTGCAATTTTGCTAACTTCCCCCAGTCACAGCTGCATCGACTAATGTAGCGGCCAGGAGGAAGGGTGGGGAGGAAGGGTGGGGACGCCTGCCGGATGAAACCTTCAGCCTTTTTGGAAAAGGCAGTGGAGAAAGGAGGTCACGCTCCCTCTGCCAAATGGGTGACCCCCCCCCCTTTCTGTGGCTGTTAAGAAGGAACTGGGGGAAAACAGATAAGTTGTTCTTGAGGATTTTTCCCCCCCTTTTTTGCCAGCTTCAGTGAGATTAAAGCTTTTCCTTTTAAAAAGACGGGGATGGAACTGGAGGAAGGTTGGGAGCCCAGTAAAAACCGCAAGAGGCAGTGGGAAACACGGTGGGAGGTTGCGATTACCCCCGCTCCTCTAAATATTGCAGTTTTGGTGGGAAATAGCAGGAGGTAGGATTCCTCTCTTAGGAAAGCTCAGGTCTTTCAGATACCTTGCTGGTCCCCACACACCCCATTTAATCCATTTTCTTGCTGCAGAGAGAGATTCTGTTAAGTTCTAGCTGGAACTCCACGTCTCTTATTCTGTTGGTAGCTGCTTTGCTTAGGTTGGGTGTAGCCTAGGGATATTTAAAAACAGTGAGGAAAGTCCACAGGAGGCCCCCTTATGCTCCCATCGCCTTTTTCCTGGGAGAGGGGAAGTTATTTATTGAGACTAAAGCGGTCAAGCCCTCTGGGAAGAATTGAGTCCTACGGTTAAAGAAGGAATAGCAGTCACAAAAGGAAATAAATCCTTTTAATATGATTTTAAGATTATTATTATTGATCTATTGAAGTTATTGAATGGTATTAAGGGTCAAAAAACAGTGCCATCCTGTGATTGAAGCAGGTAGAGGAGCCATTAAAAAACTTTTCAATAGAGGAGAATAAATAAAGGTCAAAAGTGAAAATATGTCTATAATAATGTATAATAATATGAATTATTCTTAGTAAGAAGTAGAACATGTAGGAAGAAAAATGTAAATAAGAAATAATGGGGCTATAAGGACAAATATTCTAAAGAAGAATAAGGGGGAAATGTAAATATTAGATTACCGTTACGTAATTGCTGTAAAAAAAAGGAGTATATATTGTATGTGTATGTGTGTTATATTTTGCTTTGTTCTGTTTTGTTGGTTAAAAATAAAAATTAAAAAAAAACTTTTCAATGGCATTTTAAGGTTATTCTTTATTATTAAAACCTTATTAATATTAATAGGGCATCATAGTCCTCCTTAACTAGATTTAAGGCTTTTGAAGCAGATTTCTTCTTCCGCGCCTGCGTTGCAGCAAACGGGCCTCCCCTGGCCCTATTAATAATAAGGTGTTAATACTGTTAATAAAGATAGAGAATTTAAAATGCCATTAAAAAGGTTTATTTCTTTTGGTGGCCACAATACCCGTTTTTGACCAGAAGAGGGCACACTTTCCCGTCTCATAGCTTTAGCTTGGAGTCAATGGTAGGCTTTTTTTAATGGCCTCCATCCTATAGCCAAGGGACAGAAAACTCTGTCAAATCAGATACTGCAGCCACAAAAATAAATAAACCTCTTTAATGGCGTTTTAAGATGATGATTATTCTTTATTATTAAAACCTTATTAATATTAATAAGCCACGATAGGCTCATTCCCCTCCCCTACTACACTTGACTTGCAATCACGGTCTACAGGCCATGTGGCAAAGTACCACAAGTGGTACACATACCACTGGTTGAAAAGCCCTGCTCTATAATTATTAATATCAAGGCTTCTAATAATACAGATGCAAAAGAATAACCTCAAAATCCCGACTGTTCTGTTCCCTGAACCTGTCTTGCCCTCTCCGGCTGTAAAACAGGGCCCACGGGCCATTTTACAAATGCAGATGGGGCAACTAAGCCTGAGAAAGAATCCCTGAAATTTATGTTTCCAACATATGAACTGTATCTCTATGTTCCCAATTTGGCCTCTTGTTTTTCTCCCTCTGAAGTGGAAAGGGCACAAAGAGACCCAGCCTCCTAGTCTCTCGTACCGGCATCCAGCCGCCTGCTTAGGGACAGGAAGTCGGCCATGCCGAGAAGGTCGTTCTGAATGGAAGTGGAAGGACGGCCACAGAAACGGACAGGAAGTTGGCCATCCCGGGGAGGTCGGTGTGTAAGACAGTGGAGGACTACTGCGCATGTGTGACTGGAAGTTGGCAGGTAAGGTTGATTTCCTTGTGTGGCTGCTATTCCTGCCTAAGGCTGCGTTCTGATGACTTTGCCCCTAAAATAACAACATAGTCTTTCATATCTTGGGAAAGCCTGACTTTTTTGCCCTCTTTTGGGCAAGGAAAGAGTAGGGCCTCAGGTTTTTAAGAAGAGACTTGACAACCATTTGTCTGAAGTGGTACTATAGGCTTTCCTGCTGGACTACAAGACCTTCCAACTCTATTGTTGTTATTGTTGATCTCCCAAAGCAATTGCTCACTGTATTTTCTTCTACTGTTTAGAAGGAAAAACATAACAGAAAGGAGAAACTATTCTCCTTTTAGCCGGTGTTTTGTGGTTAATTCAGGGTTCGGGGGAAATTTGACCGGCTCCTCTGGTTCAAGCCTGTGCTCCAGCTCAAAATATGGAGTTGTGTTGTTTTGAGAAGGCTGTGCCAATAGCAACTGGGAGGTCTTGTGGCAGGATTTGATTCTCTTCACCCCAAGACCAGCTTGTAAAAGCAGGAAATTAAACCGATCAAGAATTCTGGTGATTTGTTATGATTCCTACAACTCAGTGCTTTTTTCTTAGGCCCTAGGAGTAGGTAACCCAAAACACTCGAAGAGCCACTTGGACCCATTTACAACCGAAAACATCTTTTATGACTCAGGGACTTCTACTCCCAGAATTCCTGAGTCAGCATAGCTGGGCTAGCTAGCTCTCTCCTGCCCTTCCTGCTTCCTGCAGAGACGCAGCAAAAGGAGGAGTGCCATCCAGTAAGCTTTTTAGCTCGTCGGAGAACACTGTGAGTCCACTCTCTTTTTTACACACACACACACACACACACAGAGAGAGAGAGAGAGAGAGAGAGAGAGAGAGAGAGAGAGAGGAGGGGGGAAGCACAAGGGCCTCTCTCTCTGTCTGCAGAGGAGGCTGGGAGCCGCAGGGGAAGGCTCAAAGAGCCATATGCGGCTCCAGAGCCGCAGGTTGCTGACTCCTAGGGGCACTCAGAGTACACCTTTGATAAAGGAATATACATAATAAGCAAACACGTATAAAACTGAGTTTAGTCAAAGCAGCAAAGTCTGCCCTCTTGTGGCCAGTGTGCTGTAACGTTTAGCAAAGAAGCCCTGAAGTGGCTTATTTTTATTCTTTCATTTCCTTCCTTTGATGGAAGCTCAAAGCAGCCACAGAAGAGGCTGCTGGGAATACAAAAGATAATTGCAGAAGCTAAAATTTCATTTCTAATAGGGCACTGAGGAGGGCAAAACAGGGAATGCTGCCCTCCTGTAGCCAGGTAAGTCCATGGCATTTTTTCCCCAAGGTACAGCAGAAAAGGTTACTGGATAGATTAAATATAGATTGGGTGTCAAACTCAATTTCACTGAGGCCCGCATCAGCATTGCAGTTGCTTGGGGGGGGGGCTGGGTGGGTGTGGCCAGAGTGGGTGTGGCCTACTGGGTGGGTGTGCATGGAGTGGGTGTGGCCTACTGGGTGGGCGTGCCCAATTCTACACCAGTCGCGTCAAGGGTGCCTGTGGGGGTCTGGGCCGGAATGGGACAGATCTGAGGGTCTCTGGCAGAAGGGGGTGGGACGGGGGCAAGTGCCAAGGCATGGTCCACTGGGGCAAGTACCAAGATGGCCACCACAAAATTGTACCTTGGCTCCCAGCCGGCTGGGGCCAAGACAGCGGGCTCCCTCACTGTTTCCAGGATGGCTTCGTGGGCCACATGAAACCACTTTGCGGGCCGCATCCGGCCCCCGGGCATTGTGTTTGACATGTCTGATATAGATGATTAATAGGTGAGATAGATAATAGATGAGAGAGGGAGAGAGAGAAATCTAAAACATTTGTTATATAAAGCACAAAAAACTTCATTGGAAGTTTATTTTGGTAGAACCCCCAAATCCTTACAAAAGATGATCCTCGGTGATTTTGGCACAGGGCAGGAGCACAAGGTGCCTAACAGGTCCAAGCTCCTGACCGCAGGATCCCAAATATATTCATATTCATATTAGTAAAGTTGGAAGGGACCTTGGAGGTCATCTAGTCCAACCCCCTGCTCGGGCAGGAAACCCTACACCATTTCGGACAAATGGCTGTCCAGTCTCTTCTTAAAAACTTCCAGTGTTGGAGCATCTACTGCTTCTGGAGGCAAGCTGTTCCACTGATTAATTGTTCTCACTGTCAGGAAGTTTCTCCTTAGTTCTAATTGCTTCTCTCCTTTGATTAGTTCCACCGTTGCTTCTTGTCCGCCTTCAGGTGCTTTGAAAATAGCTTAATTCCCTCTTCTTTATGGCAGCGCCCTGAGATGATTGGAATACTGTTTCGATGTCCCCCGCCTTGTCTCTTCTCTTGTTAAACTGACATACCCAATTCTAGCAACCGTTCCTTATATGTTTTAGCCTCCAGTCCCCTAATCATCTTTATTGCTCTTCTCTGTACTCTTTCTAGAGTCTCAACATCTTTTTTACATCGTGGTGACCAAACTGGATGCAGTATTCCAAGTGTGGCCTTACCAAGGCATTGTAAAGTGGTATTAACACTTCACGTGATCTTGATTCTATCCCTCTCTTAATGCAGCCTAGCACTGTGTTGGCCTTTTTGGCAGCTGCAGCACACTGCTGGCTCATATTTAAGTGATTGTCTACTAGGACTCCGAGGTCCCTCTCACAGTTACTACTATTGAGCATGGTGCCACCTATGCTGTACTTGTGCATTGGGTTTTTCTTGCCTAAATGTAGAACCTTGCTTTTTTCACCATTGAATTTCATTTTGTTAGTTAGTGCCCAGTGTTCAAGTCTGTCAGATCCTTCTGTATCTTAAGCCTGTCTTCTGGAGTGTTGGCTATTCCTGCCAGCTTGGTGTCATCTGCAAATTTGATGAGTTCCCCATCTATCCCTTCATCCAAATCGTTGATGAAGATGTTGAAGAGTACTGGGCCAGAACAGAGCCCTGGGGCACCCCACTACACACTTCCCTCCATATAGATGCAGTTCCATTGAGGACCACTCGCTGAGTACGGCCGGTCAGCCAGCTACGGATCCAGCTGGTGGTGGTTCTGTCTACCCCACATTTTTCTATCTGGTCAAGTAGTAGGTTGTGATCTACTTTATCAAATGCCTTACTGAAGTCCAAGTAAATTATGTCCACAGCATTCCTCTGATCCACTAATTTTGTCACTTGGTCAAAGAATGCAATAAGATTTGTCTGGCATGATATATTTTTGACAAACCCATGTTGGCTTTTAGTAATGACTTTGTTTGCCTCTAGGTGTTCGTTGATTCGTTGTTTGATTATCTTTTCCAGGATCTTCCCAGGTATTGAGGTCAGGCTGATAGGTCTGTAATTTCCTGGATCCATTTTTTTGCCTTTTTTGAGGATGGGAACTACATCAGCTCTTTTCCAGTCCTCTGGTAGTTCCCCTGTGTTCCAGGATCTTTGAAAAATATAGTTCAGTGGCTCCGATATCACATCTGCCAGTTACTTGAGAACTCTGGGATGTAATCCATCTGGTCCTGGCGATTTGAACTCATCTAGGCTGGACAGGTGCTCACTAACCATTTTCTTGCCTATCTTAACTTGTGTTTCTGTTTTGTTTTTTATGGCACTATTTTTGATAGGTTGGTCTGTTTTTTCCCTTTGTGTAAAGACAGATGCAAAAAATGAGTAAAATAGTTCTGCTTTCTCCCTGTTGCTTGTCACCTTCTTGCCACTTCCACCCACTAATGGACCAATCATTTTCTTCACTTTTTTCTTGTTTTTTACATGTTAGAAGCTTTTTTTTGTTATTTTTGACTTTGGTCGCAAGCCTTAGTTCATTTTGAGCCTTGGCTTTCTTCACTTCATCTTTGCAGGCTCGGGCTATTTGCTGATATTCTGACTTAGTTATGTTCCCCTCTTTCCACGTTCTATACTTGTCCTTTTTATCTTTCAATTTGTCAGAGAGTTCTTTATGCAGCCATGCTGGTTTCTTTTGGGAGCTGTTGTTTTTCCTCTTTGTTGGTAT